CTGCTCCGGTTACGCCGTCGTTATTACGTGCTCTTTAGAAGGCCTTTTGCAGCTCCTAACATTATCCGACGCGATGATTTTGGCAGCGCGGGGAAGAAACGCATATCGAGATGCGGGCTGTTAAAACGTATTTTAAACGTTTTTAATGCCCAGAATAGAATTACATTTAATTTGTTTGACAGCAATTATATACTATCAGGAAAATAAAAATAAAAAGAATAAGCCCACTGGAAAAGCCCTTTGCAATCTTATCGTCAAGGGAGTCAGTATTAACAATTTGGGGTACGTAAGTGCAAATTCGTGTTACATAAAGGGGAATGCTAATATGATTTGCTTTTTTTTTTTTTTTTTTCCTTAATGCGTTGTGGTCATTTCTATATCAGTGCGTAAACGTTTTTCTGCTGCCTTCTTAACGTGCACTGATTTGGACCCAAAGCCTGGAAGGCAAGAATTTTCTTCTTCTCTCTGCACTTTGGCCAGTGGCCAACCTTAGTAAAGAAAGTCGTAAGAGATGTGATGAAGTATCACCGCAGTGCCAAGATATTGGATAGAAATAAGCTGAATTCGGGGCAACAGCCATCTTTTATTATAATATGGTTTGTTCGGTTTAATAATGTGATGCAGTGTTTTTTCACATTGCCGTTTTCACCCATTAGTGAATTGTGAAATTAATTTTGTGGGTCGTAACTAGCGTTTTAGAAAACAAAAGAAGATAGCATAGTAAATGCCAGAACGCATTACATGTAATCAGGGTATTTTGTAAGCTTTGTTTTAACTGCGTGCGTGTGTGTGAGAGGGGGGGGGTGGCCGGTGCGTGTGTGGGGTGCATGCGCCTGAAGGTGCATACATGTGTGATTGCGTGTGTGCCGGGTTGCGATATAAAAATGTATGGCTTCCTCTGTACACTAATTAAGTTTGAAAATCACTAATCCAGGGTACTGTCGGCACTCATCTCAGAATGGGAGCAATGATGCAATTAAGCTAAACGTTAGCTTTACTCCTTTCTTTGGAATATGTGACAGTGTTTATTGCAGCAAATTGGATTCCTAATTATTTGTTTTCACTTAATATTAAAACAATCAATTAACATTTCTGAAAATACAGAGAAGGAGCATTTTATGGAAGTTAAGAGGTTAAGAGCATAAACTGCTCAGATTGACCTACGGTCAAATCCCAGCTACCGTGATTATTGGTGTGTGACCTGGAACAAGATACTGCTTCTCTCTAAACCTCAGTTTCCTGATTTGTAAAGTGGGAGTCACCGGGACACCAATTTCATATTCCATTGGGATAACGCATATGAAACTGTTGACATGGTGCCTAGCCCAGATTGAGTATTCACTGAAAGTTAGCTGTTATTATTTTATTAAGACTGAATGGAGGTGTCCAGCATAATGCTTGTCACCAGACGAAAAGCGGCATAAGGTGGATAATCCACACAAATGGGAAGTTGAAAATTAGTTAATGTTGTAAAGAAAGGGACACCGATTTAAGATGGTCTTTTTATTTCATTTAGCCATTGTTTTGTGACTGCTCGCCCGTTTTCCTGTTGCTAGACAGATAATTTGGGTGATCTTACTCAATAAACCAAATGCCTTTTATTCTCTTTTTATATTTAATATTAAGTCGGTGTTTGTCTGGTGTGGCAGCTGAAAAATATTTCCCGTAGGGATTCTGAATTTTGTTAGCTCTTATTTCAAAATACCCCAGTCAGTTTGGGAGACACACACTACAACAGTTGAACCCATTGCAACAATGTGTTTACCTCTGCAGCAGGTCCACATCTCAGGTGTGCAAGAAATAGTCCCAAAATAATAATAAACGCAGTTTTGAGACATTTGTGCTGAAGTCACCTCAGGCGGTCTCAGAGATCTTTGTTCACTGCCCCAGATCGGTTTCTGCAGTTTTAAGTGTTTCATAAACCAAAGAAGTAGACTCTAAGCATTGTCCTTTTTTAGAGCATTATTATTTTTATGAAAAATAAATGGAATATTTTGCACGAAAAAAGGCCACTGCAAGAGTACCTAATTGGGTGTGACAACTATAAAAGGTGGGGGGAAATCTTAAACATTAATCATAATACTACTCTCAGTTTTAGAAATGTCTTTACGTTCATGTTCTTTTCGAAATGAACCAAAGTGGAAACTCATTGATGGTCAGTTATGGTGTGGTTTAAGCAAATACAAAAAGAAAAAAATGACTTGCAACTCTAGCTGCCCTATACCCCCCCATCTCAATGAAACAAAAAAGCTTAACTTGACCTTAAATGAAACATATATGCATTTATATATCTTCAGCTAGACAAAATACTGATTTATGGATGTATATATTTTTAAAATTCTCCTAATTTTTAAATGGCTAATTTACCAACTGCTGGGTCTGGTCTTGCCAGATAAGAGGAATTTTGTCTTACACTGATATGCAGTCAGTGCAAATTTGGTTTTGGAAGTACGTATTCTATCATATAGAGGTGCTTGTCACATTTCGTTCAGTGAGAGGGGAGGCTATAGAATAGACTTTACCATTTTTGTACAAACCTGTTTAGAACAAAGACTATATGATCAATATTTATGGTGGATAATGTGATTATGACTGGTTTTTAGTGCTCTTTATTTTTATAATTGTGCCATAACATGTTTTACTTTCATAATAAAACTAATATTTGAAAGAAAAAAATTAGTGTGTGTTTTCATAATTTGCAAGCATAAATGAGACTAAATCTTTGCTCTAAGGGATACTGATTCTTTGAATTTGGATAATTTGGGTATTAACTAATTCTCTAATAGTCTAGAAAATGGTGCTGCATAGTTTAACCTACCCTGTGAAAAGCTCCTTTGAATAGGGAAGAACCATTGTTCCAGAATTTTCTCAAAGCTCTCTGCATATACGGCTTTCCAAAAAAAAAAAAAAAAAAAAAAATCCACAGTGCCTGAATATGTGGTCTAAATTCTTAACTTTCTTTTAAATACGATCACGTTGAAGCTGAATCTACATTTATTGCCTTATTGCCCCTTAAATTTTTTAATGAAATCTCAGCTCCAGCTGAACTTGTCAGTTTACTGTCTCTAAAGGTACTTTTGCTTTCTTACTTTTGTTCTTTTGCTTCTTTGTTACTTGGAATACCTTTTCCTGATCTCTATTTGAGTAAATCCTCCCTGTTTCTCAATGTCCAGTTAAAAAATTGTATCCAGTGTGACATTTTGGCACTTAACGATTTGTGCTGAGGCATTTCTAAGATAGCACCCGGTATTTTTGCATTCGTTTCCTAATGCCAGTTTAAACCTCTGGAGAGCAGGAAAGCTTGTCTTCCTATCCTTTAAAGCATCCAGCATCTGCACAAAGTGCGTGCTAAATATTTATTCCTTGATTATACAGTGCTGTCACTGCCTTTTTTGAACCAAATTGTTGGATTTTTTTGTTAACCAGTGATCCTGGGTAAGGGTCATCAACACTTTGCCGACAACGATGTGGAAGAATTAATAAAATTGATAATTTGGCCTGATTGTCCATTGATAGGTGATAAAGAATTGACAGTGGGTTTCATCGAACGTAACGGAGAAGCTGAGCTGTGTGGTTAGTTCAGGACCCAGACTTGATTCCATGTAAATATCTCTTTCAAACATTTCCTGTGAAGCTCATATGCGGGTACAGCATCGTGTTCCTACCGTTACCAAAGATGCAGTTTATCTTGCAGCTGCTGTTCCCGGAACGCAGAGATCTGAGATATTTGACGGTGGGGTGTATGGGAGGGCCGTCATGATTGCTCTGCCCCAGAGCAACCTGGGAGGTCATGTGGGAGCCATGGGTCACAGCGTGTAAGGTGCTTTGTGTTAAAGAGTTAATATTTTTTTCTCCCAGTGAAACATAATTGTGTTACTTTTCAAACTTATCTATGACTTGGGGGTACTTACTTGGCCTGTGGTAGACACTTAGGGGGCTGATCTTGTTTTTTTTTAATTGTTTTAATTTACAGATGTTTGCCAGGACTAATACAACTGACGAAATACCTGCCTTTTTCTGCTCAAGGTAAGTGATTTGTTATTTTATGAAAATACCAGGAACCAGGAGAATTCAGAATTGGAATAAAAAGACCCATTCAGTCATGAAAAGTAATATAACCCCAGGCCCCAAAGAAATGATCCCTTTAATAAGTAAGAATTTTATTAGTACATAAAAAATGATGACTTACGTTACTGCTTCAGTCTGCCCCAGAATCACCGTAGAGCTTTTTAAATATGCATAATAGGCATGTGTCTGGCCCCCCACCAGGCGGTTTTGATTCAGTAAGTTTGCTAGGTGGGGTTTCTAGCCTGCAGAGTTTAAAAAATGCCAATCAGGTGCTTCTGAATGCCAATCAGGTGCTTCTGCATCACGGTGGCTCACTGTCACAGTGGCATGGATGTGACATGAGATGACAGAAATGGCAGATAATCATGGCATGGGAATTAAAGCCTGTATGTGTCAAAGATCAAAAAAATCTGTAAAGGATTTCAGTTGTATGTGTGTATGATATTAAGACTCCTACTTTCATTTTGCCTGTAATTACCAGTGATTGATTGTTTCAAATATATTTTGAACAAAGCACTAAAAACTTTGTTATTTTATTATTTTCAAAGTTCACGGTTAGACCCTAGGGTTCTCTTAGCCTGAAGATTGACCATATCTCTAAATACAACTTAAAACTTGTTTCACTCTGGGGCGCCTGTGTGGCTCAGTCACCTAAGTGTCTGACTTTGGCTTTGGACATGATCTTGCAGTTTGTGGGTTCGAGCCCTGCATCGGGATCTGTGATGACAGCTCAGGGCCTGGAGCCTGCTTCAGATTCTGTGTCTCCCTGTCTGTCCCTTCCCCGTTTGTAGTCTGTCTTCCTTTCTCTCCAAAATAAATAAACATTTTTAAAAAAACCAACCTGTGTCATTTTGTTGCTTCAGGTTAATAAGTGAAGTAAAATAATGGAAAAAAGACCAAATTTTAAATAAGTCTTATTTATTCTCCATTTCAGAGGCTGGTTTAATTGATTTATATTTTCCCGTAAGTGTGGAAGTCAGAAAGTTGAAGTTTGTCATAATAAAAAGTAACAGGTAAGTGGATGTTATGATAGCATTTTAATTTAATAAAACTCTTCTGTTCTCATTGGTTTTAAGGCTGTGATTTCATTTCTAAATATTGATTTCAATGAGTAAACTTTTTGTGTTGCAGGATCATCTTATCAGAAATACTCAACACATTATAAGATTGTTCTGTTATATATTCTTCAACAGACAAGAATTTTTAAAATAATTAGAATGAAAACTTGATGAAATTAATTTTTAACAATTCTGTTTTCATTTTAACAAAACAGCAGAAACCTTAAAATTATATTGAATTATTATTTAAAATAATTGTTAACTCTAAACACTTTGTGTCAGTGAATGAACTGGTTACAAAATTACATGGGAAATGAAAGAAATTCTGAATCCTAGGCTCTGTCTCAGCCCTACTAAACCAGAATTTTGGGGAATGACTTTGATATTCAGCCTGGGTTGGGAACCATTGCAGTATGTAATGTTGAAGGATTATAGTTTTAAGGAGGTAGCAACTTGGAAACTTTATTTGTAGAGAAATCTCATTGCACCAACTGGAAAAAATACCCCTTATTTATTTGGTTTATGTAGTCGTCAGAAGAGAAACATCTTGTGTGTAAGGCACGAATTAGTTACTTTGATTTTTAGTAATTATGTCAGGTAATTTATTTTAAAATCTGCACCTATGTGGCTTAAACAGAAAATACACGTATCTTTACTCTTGTGACAGAATTTGATGTTAGGTCCAACTCAGACGTAGGACTTTGTCTTTACAGACTGAGTACTGAACCTATTTCCTAATAATTCTAACAAGTTATCAGAAAATTGATGAAAAATGGACTCTGGTCTTCACCTGTCAACAACACACCACTCTGTTAGAACGTGCACACCTCTCCTGTCTCTTCAAGGCTCACTCACTGATCAATTCAGTAGCTCATGGCAGCCTTATCTAATTTCGTAATTTATTGAAGTAGGAAAGTGCGTCGGACTCGAGAATGAATTTCTGTTCTCTGATATTATCAAAGGTATTTTCCTCACAGGAGTAAGGACTTACTGTTTTTTGTTTGTTTGTTTTTACCATTTTCTTTGTTTCCAGTTGAGTATTCCCGGACAGTAGCCACTTGACTTTGGTTATTCAGCATGCAGAACAGACAAGGATACTGCAGCTATTGCTGTGTGCGCTATAATAACCTGGAACAGGTGAGAGGATCCTGTGAGCACGGTTATACCTCAAAGGACCTAGTCATGTATTTTATTAAACTCATTTATTCATCCGTTGAACAACGGATCGTTGTGAATCTTCTAATTGGTAGACACCGTTTAAAGTTCTCAGGATATAGCCATGGACAGATCCAAGTGCCTTTTGTAGTGCAGTAAGACAGAAAATACATAGTCATATAAACATAATATGTCAGGTTGTGATAAGTGTTATGAGGAAAGTAAAATAGAGAGAGGAGTACACTCTTAGGCGGGGCGGCCTGGAAAGGTTAAGGAGCGACAGACATTTGAGTTGAGATTTGAATGAATGTGGGATCCAGGCTTGCTCATATCTGCGGGAAGAGTTTCTAGGCAGAGGGGTGGCTGTCATGCTAACCAGAAGCCGGGAGCCCATGTGGCCACAGTGCTGGTAAGGTGGAGGGCGGCTGTTAAGTGAGGGGTGAAGAATTTAGAGAATTAGATGCTGTAAGACATTACAGAATAAGGTAAGGACTTACAAGATTACGCTTTCATGCACAAACATTCTCAAGTTTGCTGTGGTTACATTTAGCTCTTTCCCCCTCCTCCTGTTGCTTGTGCTTTTGGTGTCATAAAAGATTGCCAGGTCCAAGGTCATGACGTGTTATGCCTTATATTTTCCTCTTAAGAATTTTATAGTTTTAGTACTTCCATTTAGGCCTTTGATTCATTTTTCAGTTAATTTTCTTATATGTTGTGATTTGAATTACCTCCTAGAAGCCCTGTCTACAAATACAGTCACATCGAAAGCTAGGACTTCAACATACGAATTTGGGGGCTGGAGGACACAATTCAGTCTGTAGCAATTAATATTGATTGAGTTTTAGCTATTAAGCCAATTTTGCATCCCTGGGCTAAATCCCACTTGGTCATGGTGCTTAATACTTCTGTATGTTCCTGGATTTGGCTTGGTAGTATTTTGTTGAGAATTTTTGTGTCTATATTCATAAGAAATATTGTCTGTAGCTTTATTTCCTTGTGATGTTTTTGATTTAAGTACTGGCATGGTACTGGCTTCAAAGAATGAATTGAGTGGTATTCCTTTCTTTTCTTTTTGTCCAAAGAGTTTGTCCATAGCATTGTATATGGGCATTGTGAAGTAAGTATTCATAGGAATAGTAGCTGTAGGTCTTTTGGCTGGGGTTGTTAACTTGGAAGAGTCTCAAGGTTTTCTTCAGGGTCTGAGCTGTGGAATTGTGTCATAGGTGAAGGAATAGTATAATGAAGCTCTGGTCCTGTTAGTGCTTATCACTTAGTTCTGTCTTAAGTGATAGCTAAGATGAGTTTGTCCTATGTAAAAATTCTGCTGTTTAGTGGCATTTATTTTGTTGAGTTATCAACAGTCATCATATAAATTCATACTAAGAAAAAGTTATTGTGATTTCCACATCTCTGCCTTTTTATAGAAAAAACCTTTCTGATGCTGGTTATAAATACGAGGTAGCAGATAATAAATCTCAAAGCTCTCTTTAGTGTTTCTGTCATGATCGAGAAATTATGTCACCACTTGACTTGGACGATTACTTGTTGAGCTTTTGATATTAATAAAATATTAAATCTTCAACTAGAAGTTCTATTCAGTAAGCATTTCCATATAACTTTTTGTGTAAGCTTTAAAATAATTTTTAGACATTTGGATACTCATGTACTAAGCAGGCACTTAAAAAGGCTGTTGACAGGGTGCCTGAGGGGCTCACTCGGTTAAGTGAAGGACTCTTGGTTTTGGCTCAGGTCATGATCTCACGGTTTATGGGATAGAGCCCCATGTTGGGCTCTGTGCTGACAGCACAGAACCTGCTTGGGATGCTCTATCTGTCCTTCCCCTATTTGCTTGTGCGTGTGCTCTGTCTCTATCTTTCTCTCTCAAAATAAATAAGACAAAAAAAAAAAAAAACCCTATTGATGACAGCTGAAGTAATTTGTACTTAGTACAAAGTCTTAAATAAATAAATAAATAAGTCGATCAATTTCATAGCTTTGGAGAACTCTAAAGGCAGTGGAGAAATATAGGGCCCAGATCTACCTGAATATTCAACAGAAACAATGGAAACCAAAAGAAAGAAAACAACTACCAACTTAGTATTCTATGCTTAATAAATATATCCTTGAAAAAAAAGGAAATAGAAATATTTTCAGAAAACGAAATTAAGGGAATTTATTGGTTACAGACCCTTACTGAAGGAAATCCTAAAAAGAGTTCTTCAGACAGAAGGAAGGTGATTTCAGTTGGAAACTTAGAGATACGGGATGTCATGAAGAGCAGGGGAAAGGTAGCAGGTGGTCTAAATTCATGATATCTTGTGGCATTGACAACAGCGGCACTTAAACTGGAAGGAGAGTAAATTGAGTTAATTCTTTGCTTAAGAAGAGAGTAAAAGTGACAAGTAATTCTGGATCTTGGTAGGTCAGGGTTGCTTGTTACAATCTGTTAGCACTAATAGACTAGAAAAAGAGCCTAGCCTATAACTACCTACCAACTTTACAGAAGTGGAGAACATGGGATAATAAAAGATGGTCCACAAAAAGGAAAGAAAGAAGAGACATAGGGACATCATATAGGCAGGAGTAATGGCAACAGTTTTAAAAATAAAAACAAAGATTAAATCCAAATACATCAATACTATGTTAAGTGAAAATAGACTTGATGCTTGAATTAAACTATCCAGTATGTTATCAGAGATTCTAGCAAGGGAAATAAGGAAAGAAAGAAATTAAAATGATAAGGATTAGATGAAAAGAAACAAAACTGTGATGGTACATTGTACAAACTGTGATTGTAGATGTCGAAAACCGAAAGGTACCTGGGCAAATGATTAGAGTTGATAAGTGAGTTTAATAAGCTTGTTGGGCAATATAAAAAGAAATTGTATTTTTAGATCCAACAGCATACAGAAAACGAGACCTAAAAAAGGTATTTAATAATAGCATCCAAGAACATGAACTCTAAGGAATAAATATAACAAAATATGTGTAAGGTTTTTACGTAAAAAACTATAAACACTGAGAGAAGTATAAGAAAAATTAAATAATTGGTGTGATACACCACTTGGAAAAATCAATATTACAAACATGCCAGTTTTCCCCAAACATATATGTTGATTTAATGAAATTCCAAACAAAATTCCAGGAACCTTTTTTTTTGTTTTTTCAAGAATTTATTTTTAAGTAATCCCCACACCCAACGAGGGGGTCGAACTTTCAACCCAGGGATCAAGACTCACGTACTGCACCACTGAGTGAGCCAGGGACCCCTAGAAAAGTTGTTTTTAATGAAAATTAAGCCAGTTCCAAAAATCTGTATGCACATGCAGAAGGCTAGGAAAAACCAGGAGAGTCTTGTGGAAGAACAAAGTCAGGAGACTTCGTGTGCCAGGTATCAAAATTTATTACTAAACTACAGTCTTTAAGACAGTGGTACAAAATTAGAAAGACCATGGAAATAAACCAAAAACTTCAGAAACAGACACATATGTGGATATTTGATTTGTGACAAGTGTGGCTGCTAAAGAATGGTAAGGATAGGACTTTCTTCAGTAAATGCTGCTGGGTCAATTGGATATCCATATGGAGAAGAAGAAATGAAACTCTGTCACTAAATCATCCCGGATACAAATACCAATTTCAAGTAGATTGTAGATGTAAATATTACAGGTAAAACAGTAAGACTTATAGAAATAAATTGAAAATCTTTATGATTTTTGAGGTAGGGAGAGATCTCCTAAACTGGTAACAAAAAGCACTGACAGAGAAGAAAATTGGTGAATTGGACTGCAGTAAAGTTAAGAAACACTGGGAGATGATTAAGAAGGTGGAGAGGTGTCCTGTAACTATTTCTGGGAAAGCTGTGGATTTACTGTGTATGCGAGTGTGTGCTCGCAAAAATACACTTGATGAACTCCCTGCCCCCAAAAGGAAAAGTGAAAAGGTGAGCCACAGAGGGAAGGACGGTGTTTGAGACACATATAATTGAGCAGAGAGCTCATGTCGAGAAGAAATAATTTTTACACTTCATTAAATAAAAGAACATGCATTTGAAAGACAGGAAGAGACTTGAACAGACACATCATAAAAGAAGATATCCAGGTGACCACTAAAGATGAAAAGCTGTCACAAAAATTGCAAATTTAAAGCAACAGTGATACAGCATTAAACCCGCTCTACCGTAGCTAAAATTAAAGAGACTGACAGTAGCAGGTGTTGATGAGGAAATAGAGGGATGGCAACTGTGACACCTTGCTGGTGAGGGTACAGATTGGTACAGCCCCTTTGGAAGACATCAGTGCAGAGCCTGGCGGAGGCGCGATCCCGTGGTGGGATCATGACCTGAGCTGAAATCAAGAGCCAGACGCTTAACTGACTGGTGCCCTAGTCTTTGGCTTTTAAGAATACAGTGATTCAACTCTCTTCTCTCTTTGAACAGATTTTTATTGTAAAAATACTTGCTCGGGAAAAATAAAAGAATTTATAAGAAAAAGTTTTAAACTACCTAGAAGTGTACCTCACAGATACAAATGCTTTTAAAATTTTGGTTTATTTTCTTCCATTGACTTGTCTATACCTTTTAAAACTATAGTTTCAGGTAAAAGCATACATGTGATTTTTGCATCTTCCATTTTTCTTCTAATATGTAACATTTCTCCATGTTATTTAAAATTCTTTGTATTATTTTAGGTAGCTGTATAGTATTACATTTTAGGGTATGTTATAATTTAAGGATTTTACTATTAGACATTTTGGAGACTTCCAGCTTTTTCTTGTTATGCTTTTTTTTTTTTTTTTTTTGCATACATCATCCACATTTAAGATAATTTCCTTAGCACAGATTTAGAGAAATGTGATCATTTTATTCAAGGGAAAGGTAGTTGTATGATTTTTAGATACATATTTTAGAATTGCTTTATAGAAAGGTTATATCAGTTTATACTTCTTCCAGGAGTATATAAACGAATCCATTTGTGAAACTCACTACTACTGACTATTACCTATGTAAGACTGTTCAGTTACTTTTCTTTTTTTAACAGCATATGTCCAGTGTTCAGCACAGATACTTGACCACACAGAGTCGACAGAGGATGGGAACCTCTAGTTTGATGGAACGTTTCTTGCAGGATGTACTCCGCCATCACCCGTATCATTCTCAAGAAAGCAGGTAAGGTAGCTGAGCGCAACTGTATCCGTACATAGCTACTATATGTTACAGTAGACTTTTATGTTAACTTGCTAGTACTTCTTAAAGTGAATCTTTTACTTAAGGAATATAAAGTGAGATTTTATCTAGTAAACTTCTCTTTGTAATTACTTAAAATTTTTTCCTAGCTTAAACAAGCAATTTCACTGTAAAGGGTAGTAGGGACTACACCATGCTTTTCTCTAAATAAAAGTTGTAGGCAGATAAACAATTTTATATCATTAAGGTGTTCCATTAAGAATGTCATAGGATTGGGGCGCCTGGGTGGCTTAGTCGGTTAAGCGTCCGACTTTCGCTTGGGTCATGATCTCGCGGTTCGTGGGTTCGAGCCCCGCGTCGAGACTGCCAGCTCAGAGCCTGGAGCCTGTTTCAGAGTCTGTGTCTCCCTCTCTCTCTGACCCTCCCCTGCTCATGCTGTCTCTCTCTCTCTCCTAGAAATAAATATAAATATTGAAAAAAAAAAAAAGAATGTCATAGGATTAAGTTGGGGAAAAGGTGGGGACAAAAATAGGTTTTAATTTTTTTCTTTATAATGATCTTTCTTTTCTTTAGTTTTTTTTTTTTTTAGTTTATTGTCAAGTTGGTTTCTGTATAACACTCAGTGCTCATCCCCACAAGTGCCCTCCTCCGTGCCCATCTCCCCCCTTCTCCCCCCCCCCCACCTGTCCTCAGTTTGTTCTCAGCATTCAAGAGTCTCTCATGGTTTGCCTCCCTCCCTTTCCTCCACCATTTCCCCCCTTCTTCTCCCCCACGGTCCTCTGTTAAGTTCCTCCTAATCCTCCTATACGTGCAAACATATGGTATCTGTCCTTCTCTGCCTGACTTATTTTGCTCAGCATAACACCCTCAAGATCCATCCATGTTGCTACACATGGCCAGATTTCATTCTTTCTCATGGCCATGTAGTAATCCACCTTTTAATTTTTTTTTTAACGTGTGCTTATTTTTGAGAGAGAAAGCAAAAGCGAGAGCAAGAGAAACAGCAGGCAGGGGACGGGCAGAGAGAGAAGAAGACACAGAATCCAAAGCTGTCAGCACAGAGCCTGATGTGGGGCTCAAACCTATGAATGATTGAGATCATGACCTGAGCCGAAGTCGGATGCTAAACTGACTGAGCCACCCAGGCGCCCCAATAGTAGCTTGTAAACGATTCGTAACAGACAACCTGGTGACTGTAGTGCAGAGTAAGGGTAGTCTAAGTAAAAACTAAGTCAGTTCCACATGAATTGAACACATGAATTGAACTGACTAGAAGAGACCTTAAATAGAATGACTTTTTAATGATCTGTCAGTATCTTGAGAGCTTTCTCTTTTATCAGTTTTTTTTGGCTGAAGTTTTAATAAAAATATTTTGGTAACATGTAAGAGTTAACGTTCTATGTTAAAGGAAAATATTGGTAGAAGATTAGATTAAGTACTGTGGCGAGTTTGCAGCTACAGCTGTATGAGAAAGCAAAATAGATTATTAGCACCATCGGTGCAGAATTAGGTGTTGAGATAAGCACCAGCATTTCTAGAAAAAGGATAAACTTGAATGCTTTGCAAGTCACAACCTAGAGTTTAGCAAATGATGAATAGTTTAAATGGGGGAAAACTTTTAGAAAATATGTTATTTTTTAGCCATTGGAAAGATTATCTTGTGGTGAGTATAAAAATCCAGTTTATAGCATGTATAAGCAGGGCTTCAACACACATTTTGTACATGCAGCTATTTCTGTGGTATACATTTCTAGAACTTGAACTTCTGGGCTAAAGTTTCTGGACCTTCAAAAATATTTTCTATTTTTTAACCTTTAGTTTTAGAACAGTTTCAGGCTTACAGAAAAGTGCAAAACTCACACAGGGAATTCTTGTATAACTTTCACCTGACTTAATCTAAAAGAGTCACGTCACAATGATCAAATCCATGACATTACATTGGTGCTATACTATTTGTAGACCTTACTCAGATTTTGTCAGTTGTCTTACTAATAATGTCCTTTATTTTGGGACCAGGATTTAGTCCAGGATCACACATGGCATTTAGTGGTCCCATCTTCTTATTCATCTCCCTGATTCATGAACAGTCCTTGGTCTTTTGCTTTCAAGACTTGGACACTGCTGGCCACTTATTTAGTATGATATTCGCCAGTTGGGGTATGCCTGACATTTTCTCATGATTAAACTTTGGTTACGCATGTGGGGAGAAGAACAAATTATAGTTGGTGTGCCCTTCTCAGTGTATCAAGAGACCCATGAGGTTGCCATGCCTCACGGCTGGTTATGTTAACTTGGATCTCTTAATTAAGGTGGCTTGTCTACTGCAGTGTTCCTTTTGCCCCATAATTCATAACAAGGACTTTGAGACTATGTAAATAAATACTGTTTCTTATTGTACCTCCACTCACTTATATTAAACACTGATTGATGAGTCTTCCTGAAACAGTTTTTATGTGTATTAATCAGAATTCTACCTTTATGAAGAAGGGCTTTCTTGTTCCCTCACTTATTTATTAAGTTATCCATATCATTATAAACCCCTGGATGTGTCTTCTGTGGGCTTTAATCCTTTACTGTTATTTATTTTGTTGCTCGAGGTGTGTGTGTGGAAATTTAAAATTCTTGAGAGACACTTCCTAGAAGGCTATGCCAATTTATATGCAATTTATCTAATATACGTATACATAGTAGTCTATGAGAATGCTTGGTTCTTACCTCTCTTGGTAACACTGGGATAAGCAGCCACCCCCCCTCCCCCATCTAACCTAAGAGGCTAAAACCATATGTCCCTTAGTAAGTCTTTGTTTACTTCTGAATAAAATAGATTGTCTCTTTATATATGTTTATTAGCCTTATGTTTATTTTACGAATTGTTTGTAGATTTGCCTGTTTTGCTGTTGAATTATTTGTATATTTTGAATGTGTATGCAATATTTATAGATAATAGTCTTTTATATCTTAAAATATGTTGTGACTCTTTTCTCAGAATCTGTCAAATGTCTTTGATCCGTGTGTATTGTCTTTTACTATATAGAAATGAAACATTTTGGCATAATTAGATACAAGGGGACTTTTCCTTTATGGCTTCTTTCATGTCTTTTCCTTCATGTCCTTATTTTACTTTTAAATATTTTTCATCTTCCTGGAGTTTGTTTTTATACGTGGTGTGAGGTGGGGTTTATTATTTTTTTTAAATAAACATATATGGTCTCCACTGATATAAAATGTCACTGGAGGGCCACCTGGCTGGCTCTGTTGGTAGCGCACACGACTCTTGATCTCCAGTTGTGAGTTCGAGCCCCACATTGGGTGTGGAGATTACTTTAAAAATAAAAAAGATGTCATCTGTAGCATAAGCTAAATTCTTGTATTTGTGTGAATGTCTATATATCTGATTTTGAATTACATTTTCTTATCTTGAGGTTTTTAAATCCCATGCAACATATTACTTACAATTGTAAGCATTCTGAATTACAGAGTTGATTCTTTAAAGTTTCTTCTCTCTTCCCCCTTACCTAGACATTGCAGGTTTTTCTATTATTTTAGCCTTCTTGAAAATCAGCTCTTGATTTGCTTTTGTTTTCTGTTTATTGGTGTTTCTTTTTCTTAATTTATTTCCTCAAATTTCTTGCGTGGGGGGAAATCGGTTATTTTACGTTTTTTTAAAAAATTAAGTTTATTTATTTTGATAGAGAAAAAGCGAGCACAAGCAGGGGAGGGACAGAGAAAAGGAGGGACAGAATCCCAGCATAGAGCCCTTTGTGGGGCTCAGAACTCACAAACTGAGATCATGACCTGAGCCAAGATCAAGAGTCAGAGACTTAACGGACTCTGCCACCCAGGCGTCCTGGTTGTTTTTTCTATCTTTCTGAATTAAGCGCTCATTGAATTCATTTGTGTCTAGTAAATCCTCTTTTAGTGGAAGACTTAAAAGTGTCAGGTTTCCATTTTGATCACATCTCATAGATTTGATATATAGTTCTAAGATTTTATTTATAGATCTTAAAAATTTAGCACAAGACTTCTATAAAAGAGGGGTTTTAAATCTTGAGTGGTTAGATCTTTAGAGGGCTTTTTGGTGTAAAATTAGTTTAAAATGAGTAGAAATGTAGATTGTAGTTTAGGTGTTAGTTTTAAGCACATACAGATGTAAATCAAAGCGTCCAGGTGGTGAACCCTAACTTTTGTGGGGTTTTGCCTAATTGTTTGATTTTATGATTCTGCCTTACTTTCTTTTCTTTGCCAAATGTTATAAGATTAATTTTATTTTGAGACCTTTGTGATAGTCTTTAAGACAAATAAACGGGGATGGTCTTCAGGGCTTCTGAGAAACTAGGGTAAAGTGGTATCTCTACTGCAGTTTTATTGATTAGAATTCAGAAGTGTGAAAAAATTTGGAATTTTTTTGTCCCATCATATTATTTTGATACCTGGGTTAACATTTTAACTTTACAAATACCAAAAAAAGTTATTTTAGTGTTAATTATGATAAATTTTCATGGGAAAGAAATCATATTTATGATATATTAAAAAAAAGTTGCAGGGCGCCTGGCTGGCTCAGTCAGTCGAACTTGATCTGGGGGTTGTGAGTTTGAGCTCCACGTTGGGTGTGGAGATTACTTAAAAGTAAAAGCTTTTAAAAAATTGCATGTGGCTGACACGTATATACATTTCTCTTAGATGATTGAGGCATCTTCCAAATTGAAAAGTGTTTCATAAAGGTACCTTTTAGGTGCTCATGTATTTTAAAAAACTTATTTTTAAAAGACTACAGTTTAGGACAGTTTTAAGATGAACAGAAAACTTGAGAAGGTAGTACACAGAGTTACTGTAAGCCTCCCCACCTAGCTTCCCTATTACTAACAACTTGCACTGTTATGGTACATTTGCTACAGTTAATGAATCAGTATTAATACATTAAGTTCTGTAGTTTATTCAGTATTTTTAGTTTTTACCTAATGTCTTTTTTTTTGTTTCAAGATCCCATCTAGGCTAACCATGTTCCATTAACTCGCCACGTCTCCTTAGACTCCTCTTGGCATTTTTAATTTATTAATAGACATTGCCAGATTGTTTTTCATAGAGATTCAGTTAACCTCTATTCCTACTAACAGTGTATTAAAGTGCCTATGTCATGACACCCTTGCCAAAGCAATGTGTTGCTATGAACACTGGGGTGCTTGTATCCATTTGAATTAGTACTTTTGTAGTCTCTGGGTAAATGCCTAGTAGTGCAATTGCTGGATCATAGGGTAGTTCTAGTTTTAACTTTGTGAGGAACCTCCATACTGCTTTCCAGAGTGGCTGCTGTACCAGCTTGCATTCCCACCAACAGTGCAAGAGGGTTCCCCTTTCTCCGCATCCTCGCCAACACCTGTTATTTCTTGTGTTGTTGATTTTAAGCTATTCTGACAGGTGTGAGGTGATATCTCTTCGTAGGTTTTTGATTTGTATTTCCCTGATAATAAGTGAGTATCTTTTTGTGTGTCTGTTGGCCATCTGTTATATCTTCTTTGGAAAAATGTCTGCTCATGTCTTCTGTCCATTTTTTAAAAATTGGATTATTTGTTTTTGGTGTGTTGAATTGTAGAAATTCTTTATGTATTTTGGATACTAACCCTTTATCAGATATGTCATTTGAAAATCTCTCCTCCCATTTGGTAGGTTGCTTTTTTCCCCCTAATGTTTGGTTACTTTTGAGAGAGAGAGGGAGTGAGAACGTGCATGAGTTGGGGAGGGGCAGAGAGAGAGAGAGAGAAGGAGACACAGAATTCGAAGCAGGTTCCAGGCTCTGTGCCACATCTATTTTTTATCTATTTATCAGTCAGTGGACATTTGGGCTGTTTCCATAATACACACACACACACACACACACACACACACACGCATATATATATGCAATGGAATATTGCTTAGCCATGAAAAAGAATAGAATCTTGCCATTTTAACCATGTGGATTGAGCTAGAGAGTATTATGCTAAGCGAAATCAGTCAGAGAAAGACAAATACTGTATGATTTTTACCATATGTGGAATTTAAGAAACAGAACAAACGAGCATAGGGAAAAAAGAGAGGGAGAGACAAACCAAGAAACAGACTGACTATAGAGAACAATCTGTTGATTACTAGAGGGGAGGTGGGTAGGAGGGTGGGTGAAATAGGTGATGGGGATTAAGGAGGGCAGTTGTTATACGATGAGCACTGGTATTATATGGAAGTGTTTAATCACTATATTGTAGACCTGAAGCTAATATGTAATACTTTATGTTAACTAACCGGAATTTAAATAAACGCTTGAAAAGAAACGACAATGTGTTAAGGTAATATGGCTAACTAACATTTGTGAATGATTACTATTTTCCAGGCTTTTAAAAAATGCTCTTTATATAGAACTACGAATTTACTCATCAAAACAATCTCTTGAGGGAAAATTATATTTTTTCTCTAGGAGATAACTGAAGCCTGGAAGGTGAAGTGACTGATGTTACACCTTTTCCTATTTACCACTCTGATATATGGCTTTCTTAAAAAAAATAGTTTTTCATGTTTAGGAGCCGTTTGTGTTTTTTTTTTTTTAATTAAAATTTTTTTAAAGTTTATTTATTTTGAGAGAGAGAGATTGCGGGTGGGGATGGGGCAGAGAGAGAGGGAGAGAGAATCCTGAGTAGGCTCTGTGCTGTCAGGGCAGAGCCTGACATGGGGCTCGAACTCAAGAACTGTGAGATCATGACCTGAGCTGAAACCAAGACTTGGACACTCAGCCAACTGAGCCATCCAGGTGCCCTGCCATTTATGTTCATCAAGTAGCAGTTGGTGGAGCCACCTCTGTCTTTTGCGCTGGCTTACCTACCTGAAAATATGTACAGTGTATAGCCTCATGTGATTGCCTTGATTCTTTGTCCTCTAACAGTTGGGCCCAGGATGGAAAGAAAATAACCTTTATTATGACTTTACCTTAACATTTAGATATTAGAATGTCTTTATGGATTTTTTTCCTTGCTTTTTAGATCCATGCAAAATGAGAGACTTCTTACGAATATGGTGTCACCTGCTGCGTCACCTCCTGAAGTGGTTCCCATCGATGATTCTGTTTCTGAAGAAATGACTGATGATACTGCTAGTGTCAAAGCAGAGAGCTCCGCCAGGGGTTTTGAACCTAGTAAAGAGCTACATTCTAGACCTAGTAAATCTCAGGAATATATACAGGGGGTTTCAGTTAGACCATCAGTTATTCAAAAACTGGAGAAGGGACAGCAGCAGCCCTTGGAGTTTGTGGATAAAATTGGGAGTGGTAGGAAAGAATTTAATCCAGTTGGTATTGGTCGAGCTACAAATAATCGGCAGAGCTTAATATGTCCCTCGGTGATTTCTAGTGCTCCTGCTAGTTGTATACCTGGAAGCTCCTATGATAGACCAGTTACAACTAAAACTACTAGGTCACCAGCAGTAGCCAGTTTGGATCCAGTCAGAAGATGTGACCCAAACAAAGTTGACAGATACCTTGAACAGCCAGAGAGGGGTTCTAGAAAATCTGTGCTATCATCCACTCTAGAAACATCTTCAGTTTCCTATCAGAAACGTAAAGAATCAGATAGAAAATCTTTATGTACAAATTCAGATAAATTGATTATACAGGAAGATGTAAAATCTCAGCGTAAAATTTTCTCAACTGGCACTAAAGTGCGTGGATTTATGGGTACTGAAGGCTCCTCAAAATCTGAATCTCTTTCCAAATTGGCTGTACACCAAGCAATCAGGGTGAATAAAACTGGCATGCCTTCTAATAAAGGACTCTTTGAAGATGCTACTGCAAAGCACCGTGAGAAATTCTTTTCTGGTATGGATCAGATCCAAGAGGAAAAGCATTTGGGTTTTAATAAGTCAGCCTTTTTGGAACAGAAGAGCTCAGTGATTTCTGAAACGAAGTTTGCTCGTGGCTCTCTTCAGTCAGCATCTAATCAACCCGAAGAGGCTGCACAGGACTTTTGGAAGGAGGAGCAAGTTGACCAAGAAGATAAAAACTATGACTCAAGAGCTTCTGAATTGAGTTTTGACTGCAATTCTTCTTTTCATTCACTGAATGAGCAATCTAGAGTGACTGCCAAAGAAGTAAGCATTTCAGAGGAAGAATATGCTGATGTACAGTGTATGAATAATAAATCTTATGTTTCTGAAATAAGTTCTGATTGTGCTGGCTCTCTTCAGTTGGCTACCAACCGAACTCAAGTAATTGTTAAGGGTGTAAGTGTTCAGAAGGCAAAACCTGTTAGCCTGGTTGATGAAAGCTATGAATCTAGTGATTCTGAGATTAATTTTGATTGTGATGCCTTACCTCAGTCAGCTGATGACTACACCCAACAGCCTGCAAATGAAGTAAACATTTCTAAGGAGGAACACCTTGACTTGGTTGATAAGAACTATGGATCTAGTAGCTCTGAAATAAGTACTGATTCTACTTTGCCTCTTCAATCAGTGAGTGACCAACTCCCAGGGGCTGTCACAGAAGCAAAACTTGAGAAGATTGACATTGGCCTGGTTGATAAGAACTATGGATCAAGTTGTTCTGAAACAAGTACTGATAACGATGTTTCTCTTCAGTCAGTAGTTGACCCTGTTGCTCTTCAGTCAGTAGTTGACCATGTTGCTCTTCAGTCAGTAGTTGACCCTGTTGCTCTTCAGTCAGTAGTTGACCATGTTGCTCTTCAGTCAGTAGTTGACCCTCTTGCTCTTCAGTCAGTAGTTGACCCTCTTGCTCTTCAGTCAGTAGTTGACCATGTTGCTCTTCAGTCAGTAGTTGACCATGTTGCTCTTCAGTCAGTAGTTGACCATGTTGCTCTTCAGTCAGTAGTTGACCCTGTTGCTCTTCAGTCAGTAATTGACCATCCCCAACTGGTTGTCAAAGAAAGAAACCTACAAGATAGGCATGTCTATCTGAAAGATCAGGGCTATAAATTCAGTAGTGCTAAAGAACATCTTGATTATGCTGTCTCTCTCAACACAGTGACTGATGAATCTCAGAGGGCTGCTGAAGAAATCCATCTTCTGGAAGAGAAGAATGAACCTGTGGATATGAGCTATGATTCTCATGGTTCTGAAATGAGTTTTCACACCGATGCCCGCTTAGTGGCTGGCCAGTCCGGAGTAATAGTTAAAAAAGTAAGCCCTCGAGAAGTAGCTGTTGACCTGGAGAATAAGAGTGTTAAGTCTAGCAATTCTGATCAGAGCTTTGATTCTAATGCTTCTCTTTACCAGTCAGCTAGTGATCAACGTCAAGGGGCTCTGGGTGAAATAAGCCTGAAAGAGTTAAATGTCGATATAGAAGTTAAGAGCTATGGGTGTTCCAGTTCTGAGCTGACTTTTGAATCTGATCCCCCTGTTAGGTCAGGTACTGAGCAGTCTGAGATGGACATTGACGAAATAAGAAAAAGGCACATTAACTTGGAAGAACACTGTGGGTCAAATAGTTCTGGAATAACTTTTGATTCTGATACTGCTTCTCGCTCAGGAGGTGACCAGTCTCAAGTAGCTATTTATGTGGAGGAACCAAGTCCTCTGGAAAATAAGATGAGTAAGTCTTGTGTTCCTGAAGTAGCTTTTGATTCTGGTATACCTGTTCATTCAGGGACAAATCAACCTGGACTAGCTGTTAAAGAAGTAATCGTTCAGAAAGAAGAATATATACACTTGGGAAGGAAGAATGATGAACCCAGTGGTTCTGAAATAAGTTTGGATTTTTATGTCCCTCCTCATTCAGTGATTAGCCCTCCTGAAGTAGCTTTGGAAAAGCTAAGTCTTCACAAAGAAGAGCAGATCTACTTGGACAATAAGGTAAATGAACCTAGTGCTTCTGAATTAAACTTGGATTATGATATTTTTCATTCAATTCCTGGACATTCTCAAGATCCCATTCAAGAAGTAAACCTTCAGAAAGAAGAGCACATACACTTAGAAAATAAAGGTAATGGACCTGGTATTTCTGAAATCAGCCTAAAACCTGACATTTCTTTTCATTTAGTGACTGATCATCCTAACATAGCTGAACCTGACAGTTCTTTTCATTTAGTGACTGATCATCCTAATATAGCTGTTCAAGAAACAAGCCATCAGAAAGAACACATAAAGCTACAAGATAAGGATAATGGATTAAGTGTTTATGAAACAAGTTTGGATGCTGGTGTCCACCTTCATCAGTCAGTGACTCACAAGCCTGAACTGTCTGTTAAAGAAATATGGCTTCAAAAAGAAAAGCTTATTAAATTACAGAGTAAAAATGCTAAAGCTAGCGGTTCTGAAACAGGTTCTGATGTTCCTCATTATTTAGTGACTGAACCTCAGATAGCTGTCAAAGAAATCAGTGTTCAGAAAGAAGAACATGTTCCAGAAACACATGACAAATACAGTAGCTCTGGAATAATGTTTGAGGCTGACGTCCCCCCTCAGTCAATGACTGAAACACCTCACATCGCTGTTTTGAAGGAGGACCGTGTTGACCCAGAAGGTGAAAGTACTGCCTCGAGAGGTTTTGCAGTAAACTTGGATGTTGGAGCCCCTTTTCATTCGGTCATTGGTCAACCTCAGACAACCCTCCTGAAGGAAAGAAATGTTCATCTGGAAGATAAAAACAGTGAACCTAGTCATTGTAAGGTAAGGTTTGATTGTGGTGACGCTCTTCAGCCATTGACTAGGCAATTTCAGGAAGTGGTTAGGAGAACAACCCTGTGGAAGAAAGAGAATATTGGACTGCAAAATAAAGTGTTTGAAACTAGTGGCTCTAAATTAATCCATGGTTTTGGTGTTTCTCTTCAGCCTGTGGCTGATCAGCCTGAACGGGCTGTTAAACGAGTAAACCGTGAGAATGAAGGTCATGTGAATGTGGAAGATAAGCACAGCCAATGTAGTGGTTCTGAAATGAGTTTGGATTCTGATTTCTTGGTTCAGTCCGTAGTTGATCAACCTCAAATAACTGTTTTGGATCAGGACCACGTTGAGCTAGAAGAGAAGCACAGTCGGTCTGGTGGTTCTGAAATAAGTTTTGATTCTGAGGATCCTCTTCAGTCAGTGGCTGACCAGGTTAGAAAAACTATTAAAGAAATAAGCCTTTGGAAGGATGAAGTTGATGTGGAAGATAAGAGGGATGAAGGTGATGTGGAAGATAAGAGGGATGAAGGTGATGTGGAAGATAAGAGGGATGAATCCAAGGGTTTTGAAATTGTGTATGATTCTGATATCCTTTTTCAGTCAGTGGCTGGCCAAACTGAAGAAGTCGTTAAGGAGATCAACCTTTGGAAGGAGCACGTTGACTTGCCAGGGAAGATTGTGGAGCCCGTTGGTTCTAAAATAAATTTTGATTCTAATGAACCAATCCAGTCAGTGGCTAATGAAATTCAAGAGGCTATTACAGCAGAAATAAATCTTCTGAGGGAAGGACATGTTTGCCTGGCTGATAAGGGCTATGAACCCAATGATTCTGAAATAATTTATGTTTCAGATATCCCTCTTCAATCAGTGGTTGAGCAGCCACACATTTTGGAAGGGGAACATGTCAATTTGGAAGATAAGAGCAATGTTTCTTGTCCTGAAATAACTTTTATTTCTGATGACCATCTTCACTCAGTGGCTGACCAGCTTCAAAAATCTGTTAAAGAAGTAAGTCTTTGGAAGGAAGACCATATTTACCTGGAAGATAAGAGCTATAAACTGGGTGACTTTGAAGTAAGTTATGATTCTGATGTTCCTGTTCACTTTGTAGCTGATCAGTCTCCTCTGACCGTCAAAGAAATAAGCTCGCTAAAGAGGGGTCATAATGACCTAGAAAATAAGGACTGTGGACCTAGTGTTTCTGAAATAAAATGTGATTCTGGTGTTCATATTCAGTTAGAAGTTGACCAGTCTCAAGTGGTGTGCAAAGAAATAGATCTTCCGAAGGAACGGCATCTTGGCATGGAAGTAAAGACCAGTGAACCTAGTGATTCTGAAATGATGTGTGATTCGGATGTTCCTCTTGAAATTGTGGTTAACGAACTTCAGGTGTCGGTTAAAGAAGCAAATCTACCGAAGATGCTCTTTGTGGACCTGGTGACCAGTGATAGTGATTGTGAAGTGATTGCTGAGTCTGATATCCCTTTTCAGCCAGTGATTGACTCCTCTCACGTGACTGTCAAAGAAGTCGATTGTATAAATACAGAAGGTTTTGATCTAGGTGAGTGCTGTGACTCTTGTGATTCTGAAGTAGGATATGTTTGTGAAGCCTCTCCTCAATCAATGACAAATGAACCCAAAGAGACTTTCAGAGTAGTAAACCAGAAGAAAGACTATATTATTCTCCAAGAGGCAAGCTGTGAGTCTTATGGTTCTGAAATAAAGTTTCAAATTGACCCCCCCGATAGGTCTGTGACATCACAAGGGTCTGATAAAGAAACGGTGAAGCTTATTGAAGATAAGGGTCGTGGATCTGATCGTCCTAAGAAAAATTTTAAACGAGAAGACCATTCTGAGCCTGTGACTAAACAACCTCAGAAAGCTGCTAAAGGAGTCCATATTTGTCAGAAGAAAGAAGAAACTACGGGCCGAAAAGATAAGCACGGTGAATCTAGGGCTTCTGCAGGGTCTCGTAAAGCCTCTCCTGGGTCAGCAGGCCGTCAGAGGGCTGGTAAAGGAAACCAGAAGTTAAAATCTGCAGATCGACGAAGTATGAGCTGTGAACCATGCGGTTCTGGGATGAGTCGCTCTCTTCAGTGTGATCGCTCCCTTCAGTCTAATACCGGCAAGCGTCAAGAAGCTGCTAATAGAAAGGAAGGGTCTAAGAAGAGGTCTGGTGACCTAAAAGAAAAAAGACGTGACTCCCGTTCAGGCCCTGTTCTCAGGGGCGATTCTGCAAGGAACCGGGAAAAAGCAAAGGAGGTCATAGAAGACAATCCTGATGAACCAGTTCTGGAAGCCTTGCCTCATGTCCCGCCTTCATTTGTTGGGAAGACATGGTCTCAAATAATGAGAGAAGATGACATGAAGATTAATGCTCTCGTGAAGGAATTTAAGGAAGGTCGTTTCCACTGCTACTTTGATGACGACTGCGAGACCAGGAAAGTAAAAAAAAAAAATTTGAATAAAGGAAAAAAGATTACCTGGGCTGACGTTAGTCAGGACACTGCAGCAATTCAAGTTTTTTCAGACTGTGATGATAATGCAGGTGGCATTTCAGATACTGATGACTTTTCAGTGGCCTTAGATAAACCTAGCCATCATCCTATAGCAAAGAGGCCTTATGAACAATCCTGGCGAGTGGCTTCTCGATGCCAGGCTGTAAAAGTCAGCCATGGAACTCAAACCAATCTCATAAAAGAGTCAGTGACAAAAGGAAGTGGACCAGAGGAAGACTTGCGAACAAGGAAGCGTTTACTTTTACAGAAAGACAGAAAAATGAAAAACAGAGTGCAAATTGGAACACTTGAATTTCCTGAAACATGTACTAAAGTTTTGAAGCCTTTGCAACCCAATGCCTTAGTCTATGTTATTTCTTCAAATATGAAATTTCAGAATGGCGAATCCTTCAACTTTTCTAAAAAGTACCTTGGTGGCAGAAGTAGTCGAGATGTTAGCATACAGTACAAATATAAGCGGAGGTCCTTTGATTACTACGACCCATTGACTAAGAAAATTGTAACGAATCCTCCAGAAACTGATAGAAATAACTGGCATCAAATTCACTTGAACGACCCAAGCTCCAGTTCAGATGAAGATGCTCCTGCAGAAGGCTTTGATCCAACAGGCATTTTGACACTAAGAGATGAACTAATGGCCTACCCAGGGGCCCATATTTCTCCCGAGCGTGTGCCAAGACCAGGGACTTCGAGAGCTAGTGAAGTTCCAGTCAGAAGTAATTTCCAGTCAACTCCTGTAAACCGCGATGCTGCCGTAACCTCCCCCAAATCAGCTCCACGTAAGATCCTACAAAGTAAAAAGAAAATTCAGAGAAGGAAGATGAAAACTAGCAAGCCTGGTTTTCCGCAGAAGGTTTATAAACCAATTGCTCTCCAGCCCAAAACCCGAATCGCTTCAGAAAAACAGTCAATTTGGATTCGGACCAAACTAAGTGATATAATTAGCAAGTATATTTCAAAATACTCTGTTTTTCTGCGTCGCAAATATCAGTCCAGGAGCGCCTTTATTCGACTGCATCTTAAGAAAAAATGTGACGTCACCAAGTTAAAGAAGGCGAAGAAACCAGCCAAAATGCTTTTGAGCCCGCCGGTTCCCACGGTTCCGTCGGTTCCCACGGTTCCGCCGGTTCCCTTTGTTCCGGCGGCTCCGTCGGTTCCACCGGTTCCCTCGGTTCCACCGGTTCCGTTGGTTCCGCAGGTTCCGTCGGTGGCAGCTGCTGACGGGCAGTTAGGAGGAGTCCCTTGCTGTACTTTCAAGCCACCTGTGCAGGATTCTTGGCCCGCTGCAGGAAGAAGGAGGAATGGCAAAAAACGCTCTAGGATAAAAAGGAGAAACTCTTCTAGACCTGTTAAAAGATACGCTTTGAGAAGCTTATATTCTCAGGTACCGTACTCTGATAGGGTGAGGACTCGGCTGTCAGACAAACCGCAGGTTGATGAGGCCACCTAGAAGCGTTTCTGTTAGGCTAGCTGAGGATTCCGTACTTGACTTGAAATACATTTTGTGCACATAGCTTTCCCAGCTTTGGTAAAAAAATTAACCTTCAACTATTTTGCTACAGACATTATTTTTCAGAATTTTTATAATTCATTTAAAATTCGTGTTTAAGGTCCTTTTTTTTCCTAAAGATTCAGACACATCCTTTGTCCTTATGCTGTAGAAGAGCTTCATTTTAATTTATACCCATAATTTAGCATAGTATACATTTTTCTTCCTCAAATCATGTCCTTCTTATTTATTTTTTATGATTGTATCTCATGTCAGCAGGTTATGATATTGCAAAAATGAATGTGGCAAACAATGCTACCTTATTTTTACTTTTTAAAAATTGGAACAAATGAATATGTCCTATATTCTGTGTGTTTCAGAGTGGTATTGTCAATACCATATTCTGACTGGATACTTAAGAAGAAACTATAGTAAGTTATCTCAACTTTTGAATGAGGTTGATTTAAATGATCAGAAACAAAACATAATGTATCTTACTTTTAAAAGCATTCAAGAAAATGAGATTCCATAATCTTTAACCCAGTTTTTAAAAACTGCCTAGTGATTTTATATACTTAAACACAAACTCCTCCTGCTTCATTTAAATTGGATCTGCAAGTCTCTGACTTTCCTTATTTGGACACATGCGCATATACAATGTCTGTAGGTTTTTCTTTAGCATTATTAGATCTTAATGGGAAAATGATCTTGCCAGTGTAATTAATGTTTTCCACCACCTTTATTCCCCTCCACCTGAAGTGTTGGTGGTTTATTATTAAAATCTGGGTTATCTCATGGCCTTACCTCTTAAAAATATTTCAGCCACTACCATATCATTTTTTGTAACAGCTTGAACTGAAATTACTGGTTTGGTAATTTGGGCAGACCATTAATGGTTGCCATTAACAAACTATTTGTAATCTTAATATTTCAAAAGGTCTAATAAAACCGATAGCCTACCTGGAGGCCAATTTTGCAAGTGAAAAACGACATATTTGTACAGTAGTTTGACTTTCCTTAAACTTGCTATCTGATTTTAATAGTTCAAACAAAAGATGTTAAGATAAGCAGTTGGGTCTGAGATACTCAGAATATGTTTGAGTCCTTTATTCAGGAACACTGGTTGAGCTGGTATCGATGCATCCGATTATCCTGTTAAGACAAGGATCCTGGATCCTACTCTATCATTAATGTTAAAGGAAACCTGAATTTCGACTACATTGTATAAACCATATTTTATTGAAACTAGATCAGTGTACCATGATTTCAGAGATAAAAATGTGTTACTTTAGAATTAATGAAATATAGTGTAACAGTTGGTGTCTAAATGTAGTTTTATTTCAGGGGCCATTTTTAACCTGTGGGTACGTTATGATGGTGTTCTGTTGTAATTTCTTTACTTCGAAACTTAAAACAATTATTCTGTTGAAAAAAATGGACAAATGTTTATATTTTTCGTTGCAAAACAATGTCAACCCTGCCTCCTATACAAACATATTTTAATTCCCCTTCTTTAAAACAGCACTATAGGCCACAAGTTTAAAATAATCCTCCAATTCTCATTTAGAAAGAAAACTGTCCTACTGATTAGGAAGTAAACAAGCAGCTAATATGTAAAAATATTCTATTTGTGGGTATTGGTGTCTTTTTTGCCTATAGATTAGACACTGTAATTTCCTTAAGTACTATTAGTAGGCATTCTGGATGCTTTTGGTTTAAGTTAAAAAGCAAGAGATCACATGGAAATAATGTACTCCATAATTACGATGTAGCATATCTATTGTGATTACATCATGCAGAGAGGACAGTTCTTATCATTCAAATGATCAAAAGCAGTTAATAAATTTTACTACTTTTTTCACATTGGAAACTTCTAAATACCATTTTTTGAGAGAAAAAAGGTTTATATTTAAAATTTATATTACTAAAAATATCAAAGTATAATACAGTCCTAATTATTTTTTTTAACATTTTGGAAATATTTATAAGTTCCTGTAATCATTATTTTAGACAAGCTTGAAAACTTGAAATTGTAAAAATTATAATTTAAATTAGAAATGAATTACTTAACAGAATTTGGTAGGATGCAAGATGTGCCCCTTTGTCGAAATATATTTTGGCTTAATTTGCAGATTAGATGAAACAGTTGGATGTTTTTTGTGTATTCAATAATGCATTAAATTCTTTTAATAGTAAAAAATCAAATTATAACCACAATGAATATTTTATTAATATTGTCCTTGTTCAGTATCTTGCATAGATTTTTATTATAATTGTCCCAAGTTATACAGTATGTGGACAATATTGTGTGAAGTGTGTTTTGCATTTGTGCATTTAAATTATTTGTGTAATTAGGGCTCTGAGTGACACTTTTTGGTAAAGAGAAACTATATTTAAATATTCAAGCAAGTATATATTTCCATGTAAAGCTAATGTGAAGACTAATGTATTTTTTATAATGCAGTTTAAAGAGTAAATTTGTTTTCAAAGTTATCAAGATAAAATTTATCAAGTATTGAAATTTGTCTCTACTTTCTCCTCATGTTAGGAAGCTTTTCTGGGAATACTTAAGGAATCAGAGAGTAACAAAAACAAGTTCATTTTATAAATGGTCTTAGAGATAATAAATAGAATATAAATGTTGATGCTGGTGAGGAAATAGTTTAACCAAAGAGATACAGGTATGTTCATGGAGTAGTTATTTCAAAGGATTAAAATGAAACAGCTATTTAATTGACTGGTGGCGTAGTGGGTTAGCAACTTTTCACTTTGTATACCTGTATTGGAAGAGTCAATGAACCGGATTGAGTTCAGGAGGCGGTACTCACACCATTATTTGACACCTACTGGGAAGAGAGAGCTTTGGCGCCTCCGGTGTCACAGCGTCTATTAGAAAGGACAAGAAGACATGGAAAGGTGTACGTATGTCACTGAGGTAGGGGCCTTTGGCCTCCATAGCATTGATTTCTGGGTTTTTTTGGTCCCGGATTATATTGTTAAGATGTAGCAACAGCCTACTCTTTGTGATAAAAAATTACTCAAGTAAAAAAAATGTGATGGATGTCCATATTCAATAAAGGACCTTTATATAGAGAAATAAAATGCGGAACATACTAAAAAAATAATGTAATTAGGGAATTAACACATCAAAATGTCAACTTGAGAAGATGAGAGGCTGAGGAAGAGTCTCAACATTTTCCGAAACTTTATTTAGACCCCAAATATTAGGGAAATAATGTAGTAAGTTTCCTTTGTTCTTATACTTTATATGTATATTTAAAAAGTTCTCCCCAAATAATTTTAAACTGTTTATTTTGATTAAGAAATAGGTTTCGGGTGAACTATAATTTGTTGCCGAGTCTTTTAATTAAGTATGAACTTATACTTTATTTACGTTTATAATTTATTATATGCATGTTGTTGTGTTTTTTTTTTTTACATGCATTTTATTTTCTAAGTTTTTAAGCTGGACGTGTGTGTGTGCGCGCGTGTACATCTTGAGCCCTTACAAGTGCCGGGCACTGTTCTAAGCTTTTAAACTGTGTTATCTCATTTGATCTTCAAAGAGCCCTTACGAGTTATGTACTGTGATTGTCACTAAATAGCTCTATGCCTCAATTTTGGGATTACACATGAGTTGTTGTTTAATGTAATCAAATGGGGATCACAGTCCATCCCCGGTGCCAGGACACCACTAATCTACTGTCTGTATAGTTTAGCCTTTTCTGGACATTTCATATAAATGGCATCGTACAATATGTGGTCTTTGTATCTGGCTTCTTTCAGTTACTATAGTGTGTTTGAGGGTCATTCATGTTGTAGCATGTATCAGTATTTTGTTCTTTTTTTAATTGCTGAGTAGTATTTATAATTAGTTTTTAATGAAGCTGGTAACAGAGTGCTGGTCTCCTGATCAATATGATAAAAGCTGTTAGGCTTGAGGCTAGCTGTTCCTTTATGACTCTCATACCTGTTACCCTTGATTACTACCCTAATTCCAAGACCACCTGGATATCTGCCTTTTTAAGTGCCCTTATCCCATACTTGAATGCTTTATACTTCCCCTGTCTTTAACTCCCTTTACTGCCTATCTTTGCAGTCTTTCCACTGTGCTTTGTGAATTCTCATTTTCAGTGTCAACACATTATCCTGTGTTCTCAATCTTCTCACAGTGGATTGCTTGAATGTAACCGAGCTGAGAATCACATCCAAGGTGCCCGTTATCCTAATGTACATGTGCTGTAGAGCCAGGAAGTGTTGGTGATGGTACTGGTCATTCTTCTTTAAAATCATTCTTCTGTGTAACCCAGTGCACACCATCAGAATCCACACTGTTATACCCGTCTTCTCCATAGACCTCATTTGGAATTTACAGATTGTTCCAAAATGTCCTCTAGAGGTCCAGGATTTGATCCAGGATCACATATGGTCATGACTGTTTAGTTTCCTGACTGTTTAGTTTCCTTCTTTACGGAGCAGTTCCTCAGCCTTTCTTTGTATTTAATAACTTGACATTTTGAAGTGTGCAAACCAGTTTCTTTGTGGAATGTCCCTCAGTTTGTCTGGTGTTTCTTTATAGTTAATGCTTTTTTGGGGGGGGGGGCAGAAATTCTGTGGACTTCTCAATGTATCATAACTGCAGCCATGTGATGTCAGTTTGAATAAAAGTGGTGATTGAAAATATCCCGTCTTTGTCTTTATCTTAGAGGAATAACTTTTAATAATCTGAAATGGGGGCTTTCATAGTGGGAACATTGAGTTATTAACATATACATTTTTTTCACAACTGAATTTTGAGGCAGTTATGACTGAATTTTTTTTTGTTACATTTATCATCTAACTCATCAGCTAAGATAGTAGTTTATGTGTACACTTAACATATGTAACTTAAACCCCTACTACATGCCAGGTCCTTTGGTGGGTGCTAAGCATCAAACACACAAGCCTCTAGTTATTCATGTTCATTAGCTGATAATGAGTGAAAGAATTTTAATAGTGGTAAGTTAGCGAACCAGCAACATAATTCTTAAACTTTCAAAAGATCATTAATAAACCCATATAGATAACACTGGACACTGCTATTTGGCATGGAAAACTGTCTCAACTTTCTGCACAGAGACCATTTGCAAAGCATTTCTCACTTATCTGGAAGGATTGCTTTCCTGTGTTTGCATTATTATGAATAGTCTATCTTGTGTTGGTTTGATGCATCAAAATGAATTTTTATATGTAGACTCCCTTAGATATTGTCTTATCAGGGCACAGAAGAGACTTCTTAAGGGAAACTTAATATATACATTAGATGTGTGAGTTGTTATCAGTCCTTTTGAATTGGAAAAATAGAAGGTTTATTACTTTTTTTGGAGAGTTGTAATTGGAGTCATAGGTAATAAATGATACTCTGTTGTCTATTGAGCTGAAATTGTTTTACTAGGTGAATGACCGCTTGAAAATATTATCTATCATAATTATTTCACTGTACCAGATGTTGGTAGCCTAGTAACTGTTATTACTATAGTTTAACACAGTGACCTTCTTACATCTAGGATATGTTTAGGTGAGTATTTGAGGTAGCATTGATGGTTCTATAGTCAGAAAAACATCTTAACCCTTTTTAATGATAATCTTCAGGTTTTCATACTGGGTGTACTACTTCACACCAATAGCCTAGCACAACTACAAGGTGGCTTTCTTTTTTTTTTTTTTTTACTGCAGAGAAAGCATCTCAAGTCGAATATAAAAAGTTGCATGACAAAGTGTGACCGTCTTTTGAGAACAAATAGTAACCTCAAATTGCCCAGTGTCATCAAGTAGCAACTGCCAGGTAGCATTTGGAGCTAGGACATTTCTTCAGCTGTGCTGGATGATCATGTGAAGAGGCAGAACATGAGGCAAAATAAAAGTGGCAGAATCAAGACAAAGCTAAATTTTAGTATTATCCATAATGAAGTGGACCTTTTAGAAGTTGATGAAAGCTTTGCCATTAAAAATTTTTTTTAAACGTTTATTCATTTTTGAGAGACAGAGCATGATGCGTGGGGGAGGGGCAGAGAGAAAGGGAGACACAGAATCCGAAGCAGGCTCTAAGCCCTGAGCTGTCAGCACAGAGCCTGACGCAGGGCTCGAACTCAGAAACCGTGAGATCTTGCCCTGAAACGAGGTTGGACGCTTAACTGACTGAGCCACCAGGCACCCCTGGGCCATTTTTAATGTGTTTGCATCACCTGATTAAGTTGCTTAACATTTAAATCATTTTCAAAATTTATTTTTATTATATTTTATATAACAGTTCTATTGAAACAGAATTCATATACCATAGAATTTACCCAATTAGAGTACAATTCATTGTTTCTTAGTATATTCACAAGAGTTGTGTGGCTATCACCACAATCATTCATTTATTTACTTATTTTTGAGAGCGTGCGCGTGCATGTGGGGGGAGGGGCGGAAAGAGAGAGGAGACGGAGGATCTGAAACGGGCTCTGTGCTGACTGCAGAGAGCCTGATGCGGGGCTCGAACTCAAGATCTTCGTGAGATTATGACCTGAGCTGAAGCCGGACACTTAACCAACTGAACCACCAAGGCTTTGCACCACAATATATTTTACATTTTCATCAATGAAATCCAGGCCCACCAGCAGTCAATAAATTGCGTTTGACACCAGAAAAGAACTAACACTTGCCCTCCACTCCCTCATCCTCCCTTGATCCCACTCCCTGGCAGTTACTAATCTACTTTCTGTCTCAATGGATTTTCTTTTCTTTTTTTTTCTTTCTTTCTGAGAGAGAAAGAGAGGGTGCAAGTGAGTGAGGGGCAGGGAGAGATGGAGGGAGAGAGAATCCCACAAGGGGGGAGAGGGGGAGGCAGGCCCACCCAAAGCAGGGCTCGAGCTCACCCAAAGCAGGACTTGAACTCACGAACTCATGACCTCAGCCTAAGTCAGGTGCTTAACCGATTGAGCCACCCAGGCGCCCTATTCTGGCAGTTTTATACAAACAGACTCATACAATATGTGGCCTATTGTGAGTGGCTTCTCTCACTTAGCATAATGTAGTTAAGGTTCATCTATGTTGTAGTAGATTTTGGTACTTCATTTCTTCCTATTGCCAAGTAACATCCCATTGTATGGATATATCACATTTAATTTATCCATTCATCAGTTGATGGGTCTCTCCCCCGGTTCTTCATGGTAGCTTTGGTGTTACCTTCTCCCGGGCTCCTTTTCTGGCTCACCTCTGTCACATAACTGTGAACAGATCTTTTCTCAGTCTAACACTGGAATATAACACTGTGAGTGCAGGAATGTGCCTTTCATTTCTGCATCTGCAACTTGGCAACTGGCCTTGCTTGGTGTTGCCTACCTTCAGCTGTTCCTTCTGGGCAATTTTTGCATATCTGTATACCATCTTTATTGTTTATATTGAGAGATTTATAAAATATGGGAGAAAACAAGAATATTTAATAAACATCCATGTTGCTTCCATCTAGACTACTAACATAGTTTTCGATTTCCTTCAAGTAACTTTCTCTTGTTTACAAATAAGAAATGGAAACTTTTAATACTTTTTATTTCCTTTGATCATCAATTTTAGCCATATCCCTTCCATTCTTCCCTTACCCTTTCTATGGGAGAAGTTTTTTTATTTTTTATTTTAGAGAGAGAGAGAGCACACGTGAGCAAAATAGCAAAATGGGGGTGCAGGAGGGGGGAGAGAGAGAGAGAGAGAGAGAGAGAGAGAGAGAGAATCCCAAGCAGGCCCCACATGAGGCGCCATCTCATGACTCTGGGACCATGACCAGAGTCAAAATCAAGAGTCAACCAACTGAGCCACCCAGGCGCCCCCAGAGGGAGAATTTTTTTAAGGAAAGGTGGCGAGAATATACTTAGTGATTGCAGCCGTTGGCTCTCATCCGCCGTTTTGCTTTCCTCAGTTTCGGTATTCCCCCCACCCCGCCTCTAGAAGCAAGTAGATGAGCCGCCTTATGGCGAATCAGCCGAAGGCCAATAGTAGCCTAACTCTACTTTACCGCTTACGTCATTTACCATTCGGCATCTCATCGCATTGGTGTTTTATCATCTCATATCCACACGAGAGAGTGAGTACATTACCATAAGATACTTTACGTTTCTATTTTATTAAAATTGTTTTAATGTTTTCTTTTTGAGAGAGAGACAGAGTGAGAGTAAGCGAGGGGCAGAGAGAGAGGGAGACACAGAATCCAAAGCCGACTCCAGGCTCTGAGCTGCCAGCACAGAGCCCGGCGCGGGACTCGAATCCACGAACTGTGAGATCATGACCGGTGCCCAAGTCAGACGCTGTTTAACTGACTGAGCCACCCAGGCACCCCACAATGAGATATTTTAAGAGAGACCACATTCGCATAACTTTTATCAGAGCATATTGTTACAATTTTTCTATTTTGTTATTAATTTCATACTGTGCCTAATTTATAAATTAAACTTTCTGGTAGGTGTGTACATAAAGGGAAAAAACCCATAGTATAGTATATATAGAGTTCAGTCCTATTCATGGTTTTAGGCATCCACGAGAGGTCTTGGAATGTATCCCCTCCAGATACGGGGGCACCTGGGTGGCTCAGTGGGCTGAGCTTCGGACTTCGGCGCAGGTTCCTGAGTTTGAGCCCCACATTGGGCTCGCTGTGCTGGCAGAGCAGGACCCGCTTCAGATCCTCTGTCCCTCTCTTTCTCTCTGCCCCTCCCCTGCTCACGCTCCCTCTCTCTCTCAAGAATAAATAAACATTAACCAACAAACACACAAAGGAACCATCTCTGAAGGCTTTTGAATAAAACTCAAAGCCCACACAGAGGGTGACAAGGATGGGTCCCTGCACAGCACTTACTCTAATTCAGGCAAACATTCCTCTATTTGGAGATAATTTCTTTCAGATAGAAAATTTATGAAGTTCCTGTTAAATGAATGATGTTGATGAGGATTATTTTGAAGAAAAATGGCCACTTCATTTTAGGCGTTAATCAAGGATGACTAACTTCTTCTCAGATAATGTTGATTATACTGCTTCCAAATGATGTGGCTTAAATTATGTAAATTTAAACTCTCAGGAATAGGTAGATTTTTTTTTCTACGTCCTTTTCAGTCATGAAGCAGCTAATTTCACTTGCCATCGGTGAGATTATGGACAGAAATCCGTTTTGGTTATGTGCAGGTGTATTGTAGCAACCGATCTTTTATTTAACAAGGTAAGTCCTTAAGGTACTTTTAGTACAGAATCTGGGAGTTAAATTACGCTAAGGAATAATCATGAAGCCTGATATTCTTCCTCAGCCCCCGTCCAATGGACAAGCTTCTGATTTAATCTTCAATATGTGACCTTCCTCGTGCATAGAGAATGGTTTACATTATATAGTACTTAGGGCTCAGCAGTCATGCCAAAGTAATTTTCTTTTCCTTCTGAACCACAATGAAACGGTGTGGAAATCATTCAGGAAATACGTGATTGAGATGCAAGGGCATGATGAACGCTGGAGACACTGAGCGCTCATACTGAGTAAGGGAAGAGGGACCAGTCTTAAGCAGAGTTCAGGCTGCCTGGGAACACCCCAGCCTTTGAATGACCCCTTAGTTGGGTCAGGAAGAATAACACAGTAGGCTTGGCTTCATCTCTGCCTCCTCACTTCTTTCTTGGCCACCGTATCCTAACACAACGTTGTATTAAATATTTACTTACAGTTTCTCCCACGTTGATTATCTCCACTCCTGTGGCCACCAACCTAGTCTTGAACTTCGTTGTCTTTTGCCTGATTTATTCTAATAGAGGCCGGGGCCTCAGGAGGGGTGGAATGAAGCCCTCTGGAAATCTTCCCTTCCATAAAAACAATGAAAATACTGAGAACGTTTGTCAAAATCAACTTTTTCAGAACTCTGGGAATTTAGCAAAATCTTGCAATAACATGCGGAATGTTTATTCAGGAAAAACTACTGGATCTCTGGACGGACAGTGGGTTGTGGCATTTTACCTGTTGGGCTCCCATTGCCCTTTTCCCCAGCTCCCCTGTAGTTGTGTAAACCAGCAGCCTTAAGGCTATCGGCAGGGTGGGGAGCATGGGGGAGTGGGGGTGGGGAGCATGGGGGAGTGGGGGTGGGCTAGTGGGGGTGGCAGACTGTGTATAGGCTCCTCAGAAAGTCCTAGCTCCAGAACATTAACACTATTTGACCTGTTTTGTAGCTCCCTGGAAAAACCTCTTGAGGGGAATTGCTTTGTAGTCCTGGTGGTTTTTTTTTTCCCCCCCCAGAAATGCTCCATCCTCAGGGCTTTTGTTGAAAACTACCAGTGGCAATTGTTTAACATCACAGCTATAATACCAGTCGGGGCAAACAAGAGTCTGGCTGAAACTTAAAAGGCAGATCTGGGGAACAAACTGTCCATAGGAGGATTTGAAAAGCTCTGATATATTCCTGGGGTTCCAAAAGGCTCTACAGAGTGCATGTCTGTGTGCATGCCTGGAAAAGCCCCGAGAGGGCCCCCAGTCCGGCTGGCTGGAGGCCCTGGGCAAGCAGGAAGTGACGCATAAGGCAGAATTAGAAACCGCCTGAGTGTGGAGGTCATGCCCCAACATACCTACACACAGAGCTTCTCACGAAAGGTTGCAATTCTTATTGGTTCAAGGCATTTAAGGAAACCTCTGACCAATCATTAACTGACCATTAAGCTAATTGATCAGAAATTCAGTGGCTGCACACTATAGGGAACAAAGAATTTATAGAATTAGTCTCTTCAGAAAGCCACTAAAGTAAACAGCAGGAACAATGATAAAACAGCAGCACCGACAGACGCTAGGGGTGGGGGAAATCTGATTTTCAGAGTTGACACATTATATTATCTAAAATTCCTTTCTTTCTTTCCTTCTTTCTTTCTTTCTTTCTTTCTTTCTTTCTTTCTTTCTTTCTTTCTTTCTTTCTTTCTTTCTTTCCTCTTCCTCCCTCCCTTCCTTCCTCCCTCCCTCCCTCCCTCCTTCCCTCCCTCCCTTCCTCCTTTCCTTCCTTCCTTCCTTCAGTGACTGAGCCAGCCAGGAGCCCCTAAAATATCCACTTTTCAATAAAAAATTTTTAATTGAATTTTTAAACAGGAAAGCATGGCCCATGCACAGGAAAACAACCACTCTTTGGAACTATTTTTGAGGGACCTGAGTTTTGGACTTAGATTTATAAGTAAAGAAATTAATATTTATAAATATTAATATTCTAAATACATAAATGCAAAATAACTAAAGGAAGCCATATCTAAAGAATTAAAGTATGAGAACAATGCTTTTCCAAATAGAGAGTATCAATAAAAAACAATTGGAAAAAAAATCAAAATTCTGGAGTTGAAAAGCGTTTTCATATATTTTTCTATAAAAACTGTAAACATCATGTCCTCCTTACTAGGGAAGCTCCTTGAAGATATAACAGTTATCATGTACGTTACTTTTTTGTGTTTCTCAATAGGTCTGGTGTAACACATAGTTTTCCTGCTTAGCACTAGCATACATGATTTGTGAATATATATTTATTTGTGTGCCTGTCTTCCCACTAGCTTGGAGACTTCCTAAGAATGGGGCCTTACCTACTTTATTCTCTGGTATCTATCCAGTATCTGATTTAATACCTGGGTGATTGTAAGGTTTTAAAAAGTATATGTTGAATAAATAAATTACAAGCAAACTTATGAATGAGAGGAACTATCCTTTGATGAACATCTGCTACATATTATACACACAATGCTGGATTTCTACATGTATTGTCTAAATTAATCTTCACAACCCCTGTAGCATGGGTATAATTCTCTCTATAATCTAGACTAATTTCCTTATCTTGGAGGTGGTAAAGACCATTAGCAAAATTAGTTTGATTAGCATACCATTTGCAGGCTACCAATCAGATGATCTCAAATCCAGGAAATTCTGGGCCTCCCTGGTTCTTTCTTCTGAGTGTTGTCGGTTGGGTATTTGGTTTCCTTCAACCCTTTGCAAATATGCACCCACAGAACTCCAGGTGTTTATTTGAGTCTTTACAAAAGATTCTCATTGACAGAATTTACGTGGGGCCTGTGGAGGAAGGATTCCACATGGCACTCTGGCACCTTAGCACACCCGTATAGGCCCTGTCTGCAGAAGTCTGCGCTGCAGCTAATCGGAGCCTTGGCAGAATGCCTTATTGTTCTCCCCAAACAGGAGAGGAAGGGAGGTCTGTGATGAGCTGGCCCATGGCCAGCAGCCTTGAGCTCCTTATTGCCTTGGGATACTGGCAGGGTGTGGCGTTTTCTGTCCTGTCCCTCTGGACTCTACCTGCACACTATACAGCCGCGTAGCTGCGGTCTAGAACGAGCTCAGCTGCAGTGGGGCGTCCCATGGCGTGTATTGCGACCTTCTGGCTCTTCTTATTTGGGGGTCATCCTCTTTGTTGTTTGGGATGAGGACGACAGGGAGCTGGAGTTTTGGCTATTTTTTTCACTGTGTGTCACTTATAAACGACTTAATTCTAAAAAGGGCTAGTGTGGGGGCGCCTGGGCAGTGTTGGACTCTTGGTTTTGGCTCAGGTCAGGATCTCGAAGTTTGTGAGTTAGAGCCCCACATCAGGCTCCGTGCTGACAATGCAGAGCCTGCTTGGGATTCTGTCTCACTCTCTTTCTCAATAAATAAATAAATAAATAAATAAATTTTAAAAATAAAAAATGAATTAAAAGGGCTAGTATGTTTTTACCAGTTGAATCTGTTAGCTGGTCTTGGCCTTGGCCATCTCTGCTGCTGTGTGCTTTACAGAGTCCTGATCCCAGAGTGGGAGCCCTGTCAAGCCAGCTCATGGGGTGGCTCTCCCTCACCTGACTATGCCTTTCCTCCTCTGTGTAACTCAGCCATTAGGCTTTGAAGTCCAGATCCCGGTAGTTTCTCCTCAATGTCTTTTAATTTTCAAGATTTTGTGGGGTGAGATCTGGGTCAGCTTTTTGTTTTGTTTTCTTTTACAATTTTGAAAGTTGGGTAGAAAAAGATCCTAAGAACAGAGGGGAAAATTTACTGAGACATATACACTTGGAGTGACAGCTGGCTTTTTTCCCCCCTTATGATTGGTCTTGAAAAA